AGTTTCCTCCTTGCTGAGCCCTGTGAATGTGCCTCAACCTTGACCTCTCTATATATCTTTGATGATTATACCGTACCTGTCACTGCAGTATCTAAGCACTGACAAAATACCAGCTTGCACATTTGTAGCACTTCAAATGAGCAAAGCACTGTACAAAACATCTATTTGTCTCAGTTTTTCCACTACGCCTGTTACAGAGCCCTGAACTTGTTAAATAAGAACTAACTAACATTAGCTAATTAACTGTGGGAAATTGAGTCGCCCAGGAGATAGGTTGTCAAATTATGGGTCATGAAATGCACATTTTTGCACCATATTCAAAGCTGTTGCCTCATATCTTGACTAGGCTCAAGACCTTAAATACTGTTGGGCTTTCTTTCAACTACACCATTTGTCTTTCAACTACAGCAGGGGCTGGCAACCTTTTCAAGCTTTGGGCCAGAACAACATGGCTTCAGCCCAGTGTGGGCTGAGGCATGAATGCAGCTTTCAACTAAAGGGGAACTGCACTGGGGCTAAGCAGCCTAGAACTGCTGCACTGCTTCTCACTCCCTCTCTACCTCCCCAGCTATAGCATACACACAGTTTCCAGTTGGTGGGAAGCTGCACTGGGGCCAGGCAGCTGGAAATATCTGTACTGCTCCTGCTTCTCTCTGCCCCACAACCTAGCTGCATTGTACTGCCACTTCTCCCCTGCTCCCCCTGGCTGCAGCACAGGTACAACTGGAAGATACCTAACTCCAGCTCAGTTCCCGACCAGCTGGAAACTGCACCTGTGCTACAGCTAAAAAACAGGTGGTGGAGAGAAGCAGCAGCAATGCAAGTGCAACTTCCAGCTGCCTGGTCCCAGGACAGCTCTTTGCTGTGTGGCCCCAGCATAGGCATGGGCAATAACAAAGCCTTGCGGCTCCACGACCCAGGTCCAGTGGATCCATAAGTTGAATCCAGCCTGTGGGCAGTGTGTTACCAACCCCTGAACTATACCAATTCGCACAGTGGTGAATCCCAAGGGAAACACCAGATCTGCAGTACATTGGTCAAAGCAAGACAAATAATTCCATCCAAAAACTGATGAAAACTAATATCTCGCTTTAACATATATTAATGCCTGCAGAAGATATGAAAGCAGATCCTGATTTCCTTGTGTTCATTCAGTGTTTGAATTCAGTGCATCTTCACATTTTTTTATTCTATGGCTTTGTTAGAATTCAAATGTTGCCATGTCTCTCAGTTGTTAGTAGCCACAAAAATCACATGTTAATTCTTCTGGTCCTCAAGTAGCTGAACCTGTAAGCCAGCGGCGGGCAATTATTTTGGGTGGAGGGCTACTTACTCAGTTTTGGCAGGCTGTCGAGGGCTGCTTGGGTAGCCCCGCCCCTTGACAGGTGCCCCACCCCTTGACGGGTGCCCCACTCCCTGGTCACCATCTTGAGACCAATGTCCCAATGTTTTGGGATCAATGTCTCAGGGTCAGCACTGGTGTGGCCCAGAGTGGGGCACAGGCTGGCAGGGGTCTGTGTAGCTGGGCTGGGCTGCACCAGCAGGGAGGGGGGAGCTGGCCCAGCTCCATAAAACCCCTGCCGGCTGGGACCCCGTGCTCCTGCCACCCTGCCCTGGGCCCCGCCGGCACTGGCCCCAGAACTCCGATGCAGGCCCTGTGCTCCCACTGGCTCCCTGCCCACTCACACCCAGTGCCCTCCAGCCCTGCGGTACAGGTAGGGGCAGCACACAGCCCCGACCCCCTGCTCACCAGCAGGGAAGAAGCTGGTGCTGAGCGTGGGGAAAAGTGGCCCCTCACCTGCCTCATGGCCAGCGCTCCCTGCTGCAGCCACTCACAGCCCATGCAGGGCTGTCTGGAGCAAGCATAGGCAGCCTCTTGTGGGCCATATTTTGCCCACCCCTGTTGTAAGCAGTTTCAATTCTAGCACAGTGGTTCTCAACCTTGACAGACTCAAGGCACCCGTTGGAAAATACCAGCTCTTAGTTTTCACTCACAGTTTGACTACAGAAAAACAATAGAGCATTTCTTCTTGCCAAGAACTCCAAAAAGACCACAACAGGGCAGAATGGTTCTGACACCCTGAATTCCTTTTTAAATCTCTGGGTTTATCTTGTGCCTCATGTATGCACACCTAGGCTGCATCCAAGTGGGCATGGGCATGTGGTATGTGGCACCGCAGACCTGTCTGCGGCATCACAGCACACATGCAGGCATGCCTTGCACTGCTGCCTTGAAGCACAGGGTTGATTTTGTTTACCTTGGGAGATCCCAGGAACCAAAAAAAACCCACAGCAAAAAAAAGCAGGGTGCCACATGGCAGCAGCATGTCCCACCCAAAACTGGAGCCTGGTCTACTGGAGCCTGGTCCCTGGTCCACTGGGACAGGCTCCCAGCTGCAGGAGCCCCACAGCTGCAGCTCCCTAAGACCCTCTGGTAAGGATGCTGGAGCCAACAGAGTTGCTGGCTCCAGTCTCCCCTGCCCGACCTGGGGTAACCTGCTGTCGCAGAGCACATGAGGCACGGGCATTTCCTGGGGACAAGTAGCAGCAGCACAAGATGTTTGTCTCCAGGGAAACAAATGATCATGCTTGTCTGGACTTGGGCCTAGCAGTGCTAGCTTTGCATGGCACCCTGTGGCACTCTTGAAAGGATCTCCATGCACCCCAAGAGGCCAAGGGCCCCTGATTAAGAATCACTGTTCTATGGATTTTTGTCAGAATTTAAATGTTGCCATGTGTCTCTCAGGCTGGAAACAGATGTCCCTAGGGTATACAGGACTGGGACCCTGAAGCCCTAAGAGTACCTGTCCAGATTCCCTCAGTTGCAAAGGCATGCCCTGAGAATCCTCTGGCAGGGCATTCCCCAGGCATGTACTGCGCTGCTGTGCCCTGACTCAGCGGACACTCTACAACCAGGGAAACCACAAGTTATCCCTCTGGAAAAGGCGTGCCCAAGGATTCCAACTTGCAGTGCATCCTTGCAAGCAAAGAAACCTGGGGTTCCCCTGTTTGCAGAGGTCTGCCCTGAGCAATGTCCCACAGTATTGGGCCCCAGTGACTTCCAGGATGGGTGGGTGAATGACATACAGGTCAATGGGAAATGTCTGTTTTGTCCAGTGAAGCAGATCAGCTGTACTGAGACACACCCCATGATCTGCTTCTTTTGGCAATGTCCACTTATAGTCTTTGTTGTGAAGAGCCAGATAAGTCACGTTAACTTTTCTGGTCTCCAGTTAGCTGAACATACAAGCAGTTCTGACTCTAACAGTAGCATGTGTAAATTTTGAATTCAGTTTCTGTAAATACTGGCATTCACCTCCTTGAAATGTTAAAAAAAAGTTATCATGCATTGAGTGAAGAAATATCAGGCAGGTCTTACATTACCTATCAGCAGGCAGGGAAGGATTCAGCCTGGAAGCAAAGTACCAAACATGAGCAGTCCAGGATCAGCTCTTGTGACTTACATCACATTCCCAATCCTCTTGGCATCTTTAAGCAATGAGGCATACCAGCACTTCATGGGATCAAATCCACATGTGCACACCATGAATAAAATATGCATTGTCTCTATTTTGATAAGGCAGGATCCATAATCACAGTCTAATATATTCCCAGTTGGACCATATTTTTGTTTCCTACAGGACCACACACTTGTAGAACCATTGAGAATGTATTAAATTAAAGATTTATACAGTCTGAAGATAGAGGTGGCAAGCTATGCAGTCTGAAATCAGCCAGAAGACAGGTCACTTAGGGACAAACTGACTTAGTCATGACAGTTCAAAGACAACAACCTACTTGTCAGATGCCATTTGAAAGAAGTTAGTACATGTGGCTGTATTTTGCCCTATGATTTTGTCTTCCATGAGTTACACTGAAGATAAAATTTAGTTCTGTGCTCAATATCACTGTCTTTGTAGTTAGAAGGCAGGATTCATAGATTCATACATGGTAGGGGCTAGAAGGGTCCGCTCGAGATCATCAGGTCCAGCCCCCCTTCACTTGAGCAGGAAAGACTGCTGGGGTCAAGATGACCCCAGCAGGTGTTTTTTGAAGATATCCAAAGTAGGTGATTGTACCACTTCTGGGGGGAGGCTATGCTGGACCCTGGACACTCAAGTTGTAAAGAAGTTTTTCCTTATGTCTTTTCCTTAGGAAGCAGTGTTTTCTAAGGTTCACTAGTTTTCATCATTAGCATAAACACACTGCATCAATCATTCTTTCTAGGCAAAAGGAAAAAGCAGCAATCTACAATTTTTCCTGGTTTGGTAAGGAATTTCTTACCACTTTTACCACTGCACTAGCAGAATGCTTCCTTTTCATGAGTTTTGCTGAGCCCTAGGTTAACTGCTGGAACACTACTGAACTTCAAAACTGGTGTACATCTGGACTAGCACAGTGTTTAATAAGGTCCTGTGTCTTCTTTCACTTACTCTGTTGTAAATCAGAAAAATCTCTAAGGATGTCAAGAACAGTTTTAACTGGTGTAAGTAAGAAGTGAATCATGCCATTAAAGTGGATGAAAGGTGCCAGAGTAACATCAATGGACTTTGCAATCTTTCCTTAAACTATGGAGTGGGTAGATCATAGGTTATAGGCATAAAGCACAAACTTCTCCCTTCATGCTTTCCTCCTATACCAACGTGTTTTGATTCTGAATAGGGATAGAGAGAGGAAGGGTAATTTTATCACCTGCCTCCATTTGCCAAGTCTACCAGCAAAATCACTACATGCCATGGTGATTTTTCTAAGATATCTATCCAGTAAAAAAGTCCAGTTACATAGCATAAGTATTAAACTGGTTAGTACTGTATAAATCATGAGAGAGATTGAGGGACAGGCAGGTAGATGTAACATAAACTCACTAAATATGAAGGCTTTTTTGTTACTACTAGTTTAGTTTGGATCAGCCCAATACCCATAAGTGAAAGACTGTATAACCCAGGACCCCATCACCCATCACCCCAGTATTCAAAGGACAAACTAGCAGTCGCATTTACCTGTAGATTAGAACTTCATCATCAGAGCAGTTATATTGCAGCTGATACATTTTAACCCTTGGGGCTGACTTGCTCACCGTCCACTTAACCAAAGCTGAGGTAGTTGTCACATCTGACACCAAAACAGTCCTTTCTGGTGGACCTTTAGTCTCTCCTCGATTTGACTTGCTGGAGCTGGTGATGTCAGAAAGCCTGGATTTCGGTGGGGCTGCTCGGCCAGTACCGTTGCTAAGGTGGGGGAGCTGAACAATTGAGAGCTCAATGGTGGCAGTTGACTCTCCAGCAGCGTTGGCTGCAATGCATGTGAAAGTTCCATAATCCTTGGATGTGGTGATAAGGATATCCAAGGTGCCATTGTCATAGACAGCCGTCCTTGAGGAATTCCCAATGAGTCGGTCATCTGGAGCCACCCAGTGAATGACTGGGTTTGGGTCCCCAATGGCTTTACACTTTAATGTGGCTGTCTGCCCTTCTAAAACCAGCAGCTTGTGAGTATGCTGGGTAATAAGAGGTGGCTCACAAACAAATTCCTCTTCCCGTACATACCAGAAGTATCTTCCCTTCAGACCGGGAGGAGAAGCACAAGTTTCCATATCATCATCTCTGTCTAGCCGCCTTAACCACAGCAGTTCACAATTACAATGCAGCGGGTTGCCCCCAAAGCTGAGAGACAGAGGTGGAGAAAATGGGGTTGCTGCTAATGGAATTATTTGGGACCTGGCAAATATGGGATCAGGGGGAAGTTTCTGAAGTCTGTTGGAGGTTAGATCCAATCTGGCCAATTTCTGAAGATCTGCAAACGTCCCTTCTGTAATATAATCTATCAGGTTATGGTCCAAACTAAGCTGGTGCAGGTTTACCATCTTTCTTATAGATTCCCAAGGGATGCTTCGGAGGTTATTGTAGGAAAGGTCCAAGTCCTCCAGTGTAAGCAAAAAATCCTCAAAAGCTTCATCTGAGATGCGGCTCAGCTGATTGTTGTTTAAAATCAAGTGCTGAAGGTTAATTAAGCCTCTCAGAATATCCTCTCCAATACTGGGCAGTCTATTGCTGTCTAGGTGCAAAGATCGTAGGCTCTCTAGGTCAGCAAAGGCATAGGGCTGTATGTAACTGATGGTATTCCTGGACAAAGTGAGGTCAACAAGACCAGACATATTGGCAAAGTCCAGTCGGCTGATGTTAATAATGAAGTTGCCCCCAAGTCGAAGTTCAACAGTCCTCCGGTCTATGTCTAGTGGTACAAATAGGAGGCCTTTGGTGGGACAAAGAGTCCCCAGTGATTCAGACAGGTTCTGACAGACACAATATTTGGGACAAGCATTGACCACGACAGCCATTCCAAACACCAGGATGCTGCAGAGCAATTTTTCCATGGTAAATCCCGCAGCGGTGCCTGCAAGAAATGAAAAGAGTTAGTAATACAGTCAGCAGATTTTTCAGTCACAATTTTAGCTAATATCTGCCTCCAAAGAAATAGCTCATTGTAACCTCCCAAAGTCATTGCTGAGTTTTCCACCCTTTGCAGAATGGGGTGTTAAAATGCAGCTCTTTGAAAGTAGCATCAAAATCTTCCTCCAACCCCTGTTCCTCCCTGGCCCCCCCACCATCCCATAATAAATTTGCTTTTATTTTGCTTTATTTTTCCAGATTAGAGGTTTGGTTTCAAATTCAATAGCAATAAGAATCATTAGGCCAGATGGCCATTCATACTGATTTATGCCTGTTGTTCAGTGTTGATAACTGGCAGCTCTTCAGTTACATGGTAACTTAACAGGCTTATAACCAAATGTTCAGCTATGGGATAAGGACAAATCTTGTCACTGGATAATACTCTTACTTAATCAGTAGGAATTAGGTTGCAGTAGTGCCTCTTTCTGTGAGGGTTTAAGCTGCCTCATAATAATTACATATTCCCGCATAATAATGTGGAATTAAACTTAGGGTCAAAAGTGCTGATTTAAAGGATAAAAATAGCCACATATTTACTCTTCAATCATATGGTAATTACCAAGTAATTTTCCAGATAATCTGTTGGGAAGTCAAGTCAGCCTGCCCATGGCAAAACCCACCATGGGCAGCTTACAGGGAGGAAGTTTAATTTTCACATGGAGTTTCTCTCCCTCCCATCCTATCAGAAGTTACTCACGCGGGGAAAACAGCATTGCTTCTCTTCACCTATGGCAAATCTACAAGGATGCATGGAAGGTCTGTGCTGGCTTTGGTGACAAACTTTTTAGTATCCGTAGTCCCTTGCACTGCAGTCCTTCTAGCAATGTCTTACTTTTCACAGTATTGTCCACTGGGCCTACAAGGCAGGTGATGTGTCTCATCCTTCACTTGCCTATTGTCAGTGTCTCAGGTAGTGGGTACCCACCCACATCCAAGGCCCACAGGACAGGACACCCGAGGAAGGAAATGGAAGCTGAATACCTCTTCCATATATAAGAAAAAACTCTGTACTTAGAGTCCTCTTGACATGTAGGACTTGTTGGGAGAGGAAGCAGTTTGACTGTTGGTGTTTAACTAGGCTAAATATTAATATATTGATCAAAATCAGATCTTTGGGGCCTTTGTTCCTTGAAATGTCATATATTAGTGGGGTATCAATTTATACAGCAACTGGAAATGTGATTTCTGTTCTGAAATTCTCCATGGGGTTGTTTTGGTTTGCTTCACAGACCTAAGTACCCATTCCCTCCCCTTCTGACCCCTGCTCTCTTCTCATCCTACTAGAGCCATCACAGTCTAGCCCTTCAGTTTGCTAATGGAAGAACATTCTTCTTTCCATAACCTGTCATCTCTGCCATCTTTCCATATGTCCCTGTATCCTCAACACCATCTTTTTTCTCAAATCTTACCTGCAATCATATTTTTCCATTTGGGTTCATGAGGACTAATTCAAAGAAAAAAACAAACCACCCTTATAGATTGACTCAGAAGGCTAGACTGTGATCTCAACTACACATCTGCACAGGCAAGTCAGAACACCACCTGTGTCTGCCAGTATAGGCTCATTGACCTTGTGTCTGAGTGCATAGGTTTCATACCTGATGTGGGGGAGGAGAGGAGCCGGCATGCCCTAAAACCCCACGCCATGGCGCTAATAGAGCTGCGGTACAGCCTGCGGCACAAAGTCCCAGGGCCGGATTACTTACCCTCCACAGGTGTGCCCAGGAGGAGGGGCTTGCAGCAGCTCGGGGCCCCATAAAGGAAGTGCTGACTGCCGCTGGCGGGGAGGAACTGGAAGCAAGAGGCGGCGGAGGAAAGGCCGGCTGGAACCCTCGGGGGCGAAGGGAAGTAGCCCAGCACCAAAGCCGGGTCTTCTGGGGTAAGGGAAACCCCTGCGGGTCTGGGAGCTGGGAAGCCCCGGTGTTGCCATCCCTGCAACTCCAGACACTGCGGAAGAGCGGTTCGTCCCGGCAGGAGCCGGGAGCCATATTTACCTTAATAGAGAAGCACGGCGAAGAGGTGAATAGACCTCAACCGTGCCTAAAGGGATCGAGGGTCCCCAGGGAGCCTGGAAGGGGACTGAAAGGCCCGAGGAGCACCTGAGGGAGGGCACCGACACCCACAGCGGACCGGGAGACACCCAGGGGGCCATCAAGGTGCTCAGGCCGTTCCCCGGTGGGTGAGAAACCCTAGCTGTTAACTTTGTGTTGTTATTTACCTTTTCTGTTGTGGAATCAGTGTTAACGAACTGACGAGGGACACGCGTGATGGGCGGTCCCTTTACTTTGGTGGAATGGGCAAGGGTGTAGGGCGGCGGAGCCCTCGGCTACGTGGGACACCCCAAAGACCCTGGAGTCTCAACTTCAGACTGACACACGTCGGACAATAAACACTGAACCAGGTGATCAAAGTCGAGGCAGGCGGTCCAGATGTGTACAGCCGACGGGGAGCAACTCTGAGTCGGTCATAAGGGGACGACCCTGAAGAAAGGGGCGGGGTTTGCCAAAAACAATAGACAGCAACCCCTGCCCTGGACACCTGATTTCTTCAGACCTTGGCCACTCACCCCAATCAGATAAGAAAGAAGAGATACCAGCTCTTCCTCTGAGAATGGCAAGCTAGGATGGAATTGTATCTCTAAGAGGTGTCTCTCTGGCATGACATTTCCTAGGGTTTATTCCAAGGATGGTCTAACTTTTGCTCATGGCTAGGCCAATCACTAATGACTTCACCTCCATTCGACCTGCATCACCACTACCCTGCATAGTCATTTGTGATCCTGAGGATACCTGTTATACCTTCTCAGTCACGCACATGGCTTGTGCTTTCAGTATCCTTTGGTAATGCCCTTTGAGAAACAAACATTGTAGAATAAACAAGACATGCCCAAACTTTACTGATTCCCTTTCCAATGCTACATTTCCAAGGTGCAATCATTGCATTTGATGCAATCTCTCAGAAGGGTGTTTTTGATAAGCATTTGCAGTACGGATGCGCAAAGCTTTGGTTCCTGATTTGATTTGGTGGAGTTTCAGCTCAATTCGGTGGCTGAATCTTTGAATCCAAATTGAATCAGGAAACCCTTTAATCTCTCTGAATTGTATTGGAACCCCCTGAATTGACTCAGAGAGATTCGGAAAGATTCAGCAATTCGGACATAGACACAGCTTTAAATGTTATTTCTACATACCTCAAGGTACCAGGTGGCTCATCAAGCTTTGATGCTGGGGCTGATGGAGCATCTCACAGAAGCACAGGGTGTTTGGCAGCAGACCCAGAAGTGGACCAGAAGCACTTCCTGTCCACTTCTGGGTCCTCTGGGGAGCAGGCTGGGCCCCCTTCCCACCCCAGCCCCCCCCATGCTACCCTAGCTCAGCAACTAGTGCTTCCTGCATCTGCAGGGGGGGACACCTGGGGTCTACCTGTGGCTGATTGCCAAGCCAGGGAAGGGGGCATGGGATGCCCCCCTCCCCACACTCCCTGGTGGACCCAGAAGTGGAGCAGAACTACTTCCAGTCCATTTTCGGGTTCACCATCGAGCACATAGGGGGACCCCCCTGCGCTCCTGTGGGATGCTCCATGACCCCCAGTATTGCAGCGTTCACAAGCTGGTACCTCAAGGTATGTAGAAAAAACAGTTAAAGCTTTGTCTATGTCTGAATTGCTCATATTTTGAATCAGCATCAAATCTTCAAATTCGGATTCAGCCAAATCAAATCAGGGATAGTGATCTGAAACAACGAATTGAATCACTGTCCCCAGTTTGGGCTGAATCCAATTGAATATGGCTTGCTTTGCACACCCCTAATTTATAGTTGTTATACTGACCCATGCAGCTCATTACCTTTTATACTGAGTAATGATAACCTACCTATTTCATTATCTGCATTGGAAGAGGTAGTAAACTAAGCCTCAACCAAGGCAGGAATGTTTTATACCATAACATTTGCTTAGGGTTATTCTGGCCACGCATATTGTAGGTGATAAATAATCATCTGTGTCTAAAATGGCTTGGAGAGATGTTACTGTTGCTCTCATGCTGATATATTATATATTATGATATTATATAGCAGTCCCAATAATTAACACTGTAACGCCATTCAGTTTTCAGTACACAAGAAACAGGTTTTAGAAAGAGAAGAACAGAAAAGACCTTATTTTTTTTCCCATTTCATCCGAATGTTGAAAAGACACCTGGCCAGATAATTTATGACAGAAAATATGCAAGTTGGTTCCTGATCTTCTCAAATTGGAAATAAAAAAAATCTATCACTTTTGTGGAAGCATTCCCATGAGAAAGAATGTGCATTTCTCTGGGAACAAACAGCAGCGGCGCAATATGAGCTGCTGCTCCTTGTCCCCAGGAATCCCCTGTGCACACGTGCACGCTCTGGTGTGCAGCATGTTGCCCCAGATGGGGTAGGAAAGGCTGGGGCCAGCACCTGGGTTAGCCCCAGCAGCCTTACCGGGGATCTTTGGGGCCTCTTGGGGCTGCAGTTATGCAGTCCTACAGCAAGGAGCCTGGCTGGCAGTGGGAGAGTAGCTCTGCCTGGTCAGGCTCTGGTTTTGGGTTGTGCATGCTGCTGCCATGTGCATTGCCCCATGTTTTTTAGGCATGGGTTTTTTTCACACTGGGATTTCTCAGTGTCAGCTCTACCCCCTGCAAATGTGCAGTGCCTGTCTGCAGTGCTGCATACCACATATGTGCGCCCATCAGCATGTGCCCTGAGAGTGCTTTTCCAGCCTTGCGTTCATAAACTAGTTCTGCTCTGGCTCTCATTAAGGTCCCATGAAGTAGGATGCTACAGCAGTTGGGACTGCTTTCAATATGGGCATAAGATGATTGAAATCCTGGTCACTTGGGTCCAGGAAAGCACGGGGCATCTTTGCCAAATTATTAATTTGGAACAGTCCTTTCTGCCTATCAACTGTCTAATTAGATTT